ACCGTGCTCGCGGCATCTGAGAGAATGTGCTCGGTGGGGTCACCGCCATGGAGCCATGGGACTCTAGGAGTATCAGCTCAAGGCTCTGCAGGCTCTCCGCCAGCGACCACAAGTGCGCCAGGGTCGCCGTGGGCACTTATTTCATTGGCGGAAGGACAGCAGCGGCGCGCGTTCGGCGGGACGACCCAGCGAGATCACGCGGAGGGGAGCGAGGACGCAGGGGTGCATACGCGGTCCAGGGATCCCCACCACCCGCGCCCACGAAGCCAGCCCCTGCTGGCAGGGGACGACCAGGACGCACAAGGGAGCCCTCTGGGTTGTGCGGCAGGAGGACAGCAAGAGGAACGACGGGGCCAGCCGGAGGCACGGTATGAGATGACGCCTCCGCGTTCGAGCGGTGCAGCGCTTTCTCCACGCCGTCCAACCTTCGGAGAACGCGCTCCAGTTCGGACGGCGCTTGACGCGCCGTTCCGCCGCGACCATAACCTCCCCGCTGCCCACGACGCCCACGCCCACTTGCATTCGAGTGAGCGGGCGACTGCTGGCGAGATGGGACGCGTTGGCGCTGGCGACCAGGTGATCGGCCCCCGTGACGAGGAGAGTAGAGCCGCTGGCGCTTTGACGGCCGCGGCGAACGCGCAGACGGGGACCGAGGGCGAGAAGCGTGCGGAGCAGGCGATCGATAATGTGTGGCTTGGCAACCGGGCGAGCGGTGACGACGCGACCGGCGGTCCGGAGATCGGCTCCTCGATGCCGCGCGGCGAGGTGAACGTGGTGAGTGCGGTGATCGCGGCTTCCGAGGCGATCGAGGCTCGGCGTGACGCTCCACACGGTGACTCTCCTGCCCGTCACCGCGCGCCACTGTCGAACGGCGACGAGGCGAACGTTCCCGGCGCGCCGCAGCCCCTGCGTCGGAGCGCACGACGGACTCCGCGCGCGCAGGCGCTGGTCCGGGCCGCTGATCTTCGAAACGGCGACGAATCTGATCAGCGGCAGCCAGCGGAGCGACAGGGACGCTCGCGGCAGGACGCGCAGGAGGAAGCGGACGGGGAGCGAGATCGCTCACCACGGAACACCCGCGGCCAGGAGCAGCCAGGGGATCCATCGGAGCAGCGGGATGATGGCGCCCGCCCAACGGGCGGCCGACGCGGCGGAGGTAGAGCTGCAGGCCGGGGAGGACGAACAGCTGGACGCGACGGGAGAGCTCGAGGCGGCGGTCCGGAGAACGTGTACCAGCAGGCGGGACGTAGGGCTTTAACTGAGATGAGCAACGATAATCATACAACCACTTCAGACAGCAGCTTTGTAGCTGCAGAGTCCACGGACTCGACCTCTAGCTCTGAGTCACTGGAAGACGAGCAGCAACAGACCCCTGCTCGAGCAAGCAGGCCAGCAGCATCTCACCTGCCGAGGGGGAACTCAGTTGTGAGATCCAACAGGAGGGGTCCCCCAACACCAACCAGGGCCGCATCGGGCAATTTTGCCCCTCTACCAATCCCAACCCCGATTTCCAACATTCAGACCCCTACCCACACCGCCCCCCAACCTGCACCTGGCAGTAACCACGTCCCAACCCAACCCTTAGAGGAAAAATCCCCCAAAACGCTCGCCAAGGACGATACGCTATTCGCCAACGTTTCAGCCTGGGATCTCACGAAATTGCGCGACTCTCGCCATGCACCCCTTTCCCGCCACCTCCCACCAGACCCACGCAAGCTTTTCGCCACAGCCTTGTTGGTGCCGCTGTTGCGCTTGGCGAAATATCCAGACTCTTCCTCTGCTTGGACGGTCGTTCTATTTCTCACGCGTTTAACACTTCGCCAGCTGTCCCCACGACGTCCTGACTGGAAGGCTGTCAGTGCCCGCCTTCGTCAGTTTCTGTCCGGAGAATGGGACAAGCTATACACTGAGACAGTAAGCTCACTGACGTGGCCCCAACCACCTAGACACCAGCCCGATGACATTGGTGTCATCGCTAGGGCAGAGGGGTTGGCGCGACGTGGCAGCCTACGACGAGCCGTGATGGCACTTGAAGCCACGCCAGTCAGCATTCCCTCCCCAACCGTGCTGGAGGCCCTGCGCGCCAAGCACCCGCCAGCGCCCGCCTCCCCACCTGACTGGACATTTCCAGCACCTGACCCTCACCTATCGGCACCGTTTGCAGTCTTCTCCAAGGTGCTGGGAAGCTGCGAGATGGGAGTGGGAGCGGGCCCTTCTGGAACAACGTTTGAACACTTACGCGATGCAGCGCTGATCAACCACTCCGTTGGGAAACACCTGCACGCACTAGTCAACACGATACTCACAGGAAACTTACCTCCTGCAGTGGCTGAGCTCCTCACCGCCTCAAGATTGATTGCCCTGAGCAAGCCCGATGGGGGGACGCGGCCAATTGCCATCGGCGAAAGCATGACACGCCTCGCGGCTAAGACGGCGCTTACCTTGACCGCAGGGGCCGCCCGTGAGTTCTTCCTGCCGCACCAGTTCGGCGTGGCAGTCCCTGGTGGGGCGGAGGCGATTATCCACACCACACGCACTTACCTCACGGTGAACACAGGAGCTTTGGTCCTGCAGGCTGATCTGGCGAACGCTTTTAACAGCGTTAACCGCGACGCCATCATCACATCTCTCCGGGACTCCACTCTCGCTTCACTCTTACCGTTAGTTAAACTGCTGTACAGCCTTCCCTCGGCTCTATGTCTGGACGCTGGCTTCTCACACCCACCTCTGCTGAGCGAGACCGGGGTGCGACAGGGAGATCCCCTCGGCCCGTTGTTATTCGCTGCCGCCATACACCCTGCGCTGACAAAAACAGCGCTCAGCTTCCCCTCCGTGGTCTGTCTTGCCTATGCGGACAACGTAACTTTTCTTGGAGATGCAGCCACGTGTGCGGCGGCGTTTGAGGACTTCACAGGAAACCTTGGGGAGATCGGGCTGCGCCACAACCCAGCCAAGTGCGCAGCCTGGTCTCAGGCAGGCCGGCAGGGAGCAGCGCTACCAGTGGGCGTACCTTACACTGAAGATGGGGTGAAGGTGCTTGGCAGCTTCATCGGTGGCAGCGACGCAACTGCCGCGTTCCTACGTGCCAGCCTCGACACCATGGGCGGGCCGCTGCCCTTAATCGCGCGGATGGAGCCGCAGCTGGCTTCCCTCCTGCTCTCACGGTGCATCTCACGACGGATCGCTTACGTCGCCCGCACCACGCCGCTTTCAGCCCTGCCAGTCGAGGAGTGGTCAAACTGGGGTAAAAGGCTGTTTGAGACGTTGCTGACTGCCTGCGGCATTCGCCACCCACGGGGGGAGGCCGAGATTTCACGTACCTGGGCGCAAGCGTCACTCCCCATCTCGCTCGGCGGTCTGGGTCTCACACACCCCTCGGTGGAGGGACGTGTTGGGTTCCTCGCAAGCTACACGCAAGCGCAGCACCTGCTCACCTCCATTGATGAGTCGGCTGTCGGCGACTTGGCGGAAACGCGGATCCGGATGGTGGGGCCGTTCATCAACACGTCCCCGCTCTTTGACTGGTTGGAGAGGTGTGAGGAGTCACTGCCGGACGATGGGAAGGAGCTGCTGCAGAGCGACCGAGTTGATCCCAAGGGCGTCAAGCTGCAGCACGGGCTGGCAATCGCGGTCCACGGACTGCGCTACGCGGAGCAGGTGCAGGCTACACGCATCATGCCACTCAACCCACTAAGCGGGCACACTCAGCGCATGCATTCACTCTCAGGGTATGGGGCAGGAGACTGGCTCAATGCAGTTCCTTTCAACTCGACACTACGGCTTGCCGCGGCTCACTTTGCGCATGCGCTGCAGTTCCGGATGGGGTTACCCTCCTCGGCACCTGGCGCGTGTGACTGCCGCAAGGAGACGACAATCCTTGACAGGCGGCTGCCCAACCACCTGCTGCGCTGCGACACAGGGAAGGGGCGGACCAACACGCACAATGAACTGCGCGATGCGTGCCTGCACATGGCCGCCGACGCTGACTTCATGACTCACAGTGAGACGACCGCGTTCTGCCCCGTCACTCTGAAGAAAGCCGACATTGCGATCCGGGACAAGTCCTCAGGAGCAGTGTGGATAGGGGACGTGACCATCACGGACCCCATTAGCACACGGGATCCCAACGCGGTCAAGGGCAGGGGGTGGGCGGCCAGGGAGGCGGCAGAGAAAAAGATCTCCGACTACGAGGGCTCAACGGCCTCGTGGGTCGGATTCTTCCCTCTCGCCGTTGATACCTATGGCTGTCCCTGCGCGGAGGTCCCTCAATTCCTCAAACTTCTGGCCGACACCGGCGCGCGCAGGCTCTTCAACGCGGCCCCCTCATCTTACCAGGCAACAAAGCTGCTGCATCAGTTCCGCCAGCGGTGGTCCGTGGCGCTGCAGCGGGCGCAGTCGGTGAGCTTCATGACGAAGTGCAACTATGCGGCACAGGTGGAAAACCCACCTGTGTTGCTGCCGGGCGAAGGCATGTCCCTCGGGGACTGCCTTGCCATCCTGGAGCCTGCATTGGAGCTGCCTTAGAGGGTGAACGAGAGTAGGTAGGATATGAGGGTTTTAGAGGCTGAGGTGCATTGCTTCTTATAACCTTGTGCATGTCTGTACCCTGCTCGGATCTAATACACGGACCGCTTGAGGGAGAGGGAGAGGGAGAGGGAGAGGGAGAGGGATAGGGAGAGGGAGAGGGAGTGAGGGAGGGAGAGGGAGAGGGAGAGGGGGAGGGAGAGGGAGAGGGAGAGGGAGAGGGAGAGGGAGAGGGAGAGGGGAAAAAGAGCAGCACGAGGTGGGAGATGTACGAACATTCAGGCTAAAAAGGATGAACAAAAGCGAGAGCTTGTGGTAATATGAAGTGGTAGAGTTTCCAGGTAGGCATTCACGCTTGCAGTAAGAAAAAGACCTGGTCGTCATTGCTCGTCATTGCTCTCTTACAAGGTAACGACAAGCTGTGCACCATTGACACGAGAGGGAAAAATTTCACCGTGAGGGCAAAGGGAACGTACGACGTCTGAGGGGCTGCGAGGGCAGGAGCCGACAATGACACCGGGCGCTATGCGACTCCAATTCAACGTCCACCTCCACTCTCCGCCCACGTTCCCGCCTCCTCCTCCCCCTCCCCCGCTCTCGCGCTGCGTTCAGCCGCCAGACACAATCCAACACGTCAGCAACCCGTTCTGCGGAATATGAAGTTCGCTTTTTCTTCAACCAGAGACCAGAGCAACGGTTATTAGTGGGAAAGAGCTAAAAAAAGGCCCGCACGGATACTCTACTTTGGAGACCGTTACGGTCGATCCTAATCCACATTGCCTTCCAATCGCCAACTACTCCCTTGACTGCGTTCCATTCACTAAGCCGGCATTCCCCGTTCAACGCACCTGCCGCTTCTCCCAATCCGCCCGCTCGGCCTCCGTGGCCCACTCCCCGCCAGCTCTGACGCACGTGCGCTCACCCCTCTTCCGCTCGCCCCGCTTCTGCGCACCCGCGTTCCGCGCGTCCGCCTCCGCTCCCCACGCTGCGGAGAATCCGCTTCCGCCGGGCAGCTGGCGACAGGCTGCTAGCGAGCGAGACCTGTCGTGCGACGACCCTGTGCGACATGCGACGACCTCGGCGACGCGACCACGGTCGCGTCTAGTCGTCGACGACACGCGTACGGAGAACGCGGTAACAGGCGAGAGAGATAGATATGGCTCCCCTGAGACGGGTAGCTGCTTGGCACGGTAAGTTTCACGTCGGAAACACGTCGACGACGTTTCCGCCGGAGAGATTAGCGACATGCCGCTTAATGCCATGGCATACGCAGCGCAACGCACGGACTCCGCGATGGCCGAACGTTTCCTTTCAATGGAAGAAGCTGGGAAAGTACGCAGACGCTCTAATAACCACCACTTACGTTGCGAAAGCACGCAGGCTAGAAAGCATCCAGTGCGTATGGTGGTACGTACGCATCCACGCTAGCCGAACTACGGTTCCACTTCTGACATCCAGCGTTCGTTGGAAATAGCCGTTGAAGGAACAAATCCCACACGAGCATGGAAGTTCTCGCAAATGCATTACCGCGCTATAGAATGATTTGGTGATGAAGCCCTGTGATGAGTTCGGGTTTCTTGATGAGGCAATTCAAAATGACTCAATATTTGATAGAAACGAATCAGCCTACAACTGACTGCATCCCAAATGAACATTTTCCAGAGCAAACCAAATGCCACACACTAACAACGGCATAGCAGCATGATGCCAAATCACAGCTCGCCACACTCGGCAATGACACATGCGAGCTTGGGCCGGTTGTTGGGGCCCGTTTGAACATTCTCGATTTTCCGCACAACAAGAAGGGAATCTCCTAGCACTCGCTGCAGGAAAATGAGCAGAGAAAGGGCACAGGAAGAGAGCAGGGGCGGGAAACGGAAGGTATTTCTGGAGTTCAGTCAAGGAGAAATGAATGCCAGACTCGAACCCGAACAGGCAGTTGTTTGAAAGGTAAAATGCTAGCTTCAAAAAGCATGAGCAGCTATGGAGAAGAACGACCAGCTAAACTCAGCTCATATGGTAGCAGCAGGTAGGCATTTCAGGTGATGCACACATGTGTGTACTCAGCATTGCAGGCACAGGCACAGGCACAGGCACAGGCACATGACTTAGCAGCTCAACAGAAAGTCAGCTTACCCCAAAGACAACGTGCTTGTTATCAAGCCAGTCGCACTTGGCGCATGTCAGGAAGAACTGCCGGCACAGAGACACAGAAAAAACACAAACCAGCACCCAGCACAGAAGCACACCACATAAAGGATGATGATCTATGAATCATGGACCAGGGATCACCCCACCCACCTCCTCACTCTGCTACCAGTCTCTCTCATGCAAAGACTTTCTCTCCAGTACTCTGCATGCCTGTCCCTGCCACATGCTCTTCTACCATGCCTTAAACGGCATCCTCTAGCCAGGGGTGTTTTGAGTTGGCTCAAACCACGCATGCCTACCCATGTTAGAGGGTCTTGTTCCATGCGTCCAACCGACCGCACCCTGAACCCCTTCCGGATATTGCTACGCCGCGTTTCATGCTCTCCTTCTCTGCCTTGCAATCTCTGTTGCCACCCACTTAGCGCCCCCGCTTAACGCCCCCGCTTAGCGCCCCAGCTTAGCGCCCCCGCTTAGCGCCCCCACATAGAGCCCCACTTAGCGCCCCCAACCACTTAACGACCCCACCCACTTAGCGCCCCCACCCACTTAACGACCCCACCCACTTAGCGCCCCCACCCACTTAACGACCCCACCCACTTAGCGCCCCCACCCACTTAACGACCCCACCCACTTAGCGCCCCCACTTAGCGCCCCCACTTAGCGCCCCCCCTTAGCGCCCCCACTTAGCGCCCCCACTTAGCGCCCCCACTTAGCGCCCCGCCCCACTTAGCGGCCCCACTTATCGCCCCACTTAGCACCCCCACGTAGCGCTTCCACAAAGCGGCCCCACTTAGTGCCACCGCTTAGCGGCCCCCCTTAGCACCCCCTTAGCGACTCCACTTAGCAGCACCCGCCCGCTCATACGCTACACCGCCGGCTCGTACGCTGCACCGTCCGCTCATACGCTGCACCGCCCGCTCATACGCTGCACCGCCGGCTCATACGCTGCACCGACCGTTGGGGACTGGAGCTGCAGTCCCGGGTTGGGGACTGGAGCTGCAGTCCCGGGTTGGGGACTGGAGCTGCAGTCCCGGGTTGGGGACTGGAGCTGCAGTCCCGGGTTGGGGACTGGAGCTGCAGTCCCGGGTTGGGGACTGGAGCTGCAGTCCCGGGTTGGGGACTGGAGCTGCAGTCCCGGGTTGGGGGCTGGAGCTGCAGTCCCGGGTTGGGGGATACAGTCCCGGGTTGGGGGCTGGAGCTGCAGTCCCGGGTTGGGGGCTGGAGCTGCAGTCCCGGGTTGGGGGCTGGAGCTGCAGTCCCGGGTTGGGGGCTGGAGCTGCAGTCCCGGGTTGGGGGCTGGAGCTGCAGTCCCGGGTTGGGGGCTGGAGCTGCAGTCCCGGGTTGGGGGCTGGAGCTGCAGTCCCGGGTTGGGGGCTGGAGCTGCAGTCCCGGGTTGGGGGCTGGAGCTGCAGTCCCGGGTTGGGGGCTGGAGCTGCAGTCCCGGGTTGGGGGCTGGAGCTGCAGTCCCGGGTTGGGGGCTGGAGCTGCAGTCCCGGGTTGGGGGCTGGAGCTGCAGTCCCGGGTTGGGGGCTGGAGCTGCAGTCCCGGGTTGGGGGCTGGAGCTGCAGTCCCGGGTTGGGGGCTGGAGCTGCAGTCCCGGGTTGGGGGCTGGAGCTGCAGTCCCGGGTTGGGGGCTGGAGCTGCAGTCCCGGGTTGGGGGCTGGAGCTGCAGTCCCGGGTTGGGGGCTGGAGCTGCAGTCCCGGGTTGGGGGCTGGAGCTGCAGTCCCGGGTTGGGGGCTGGAGCTGCAGTCCCGGGTTGGGGGCTGGAGCTGCAGTCCCGGGTTGGGGGCTGGAGCTGCAGTCCCGGGTTGGGGGCTGGAGCTGCAGTCCCGGGTTGGGGGCTGGAGCTGCAGTCCCGGGTTGGGGGCTGGAGCTGCAGTCCCGGGTTGGGGGCTGGAGCTGCAGTCCCGGGTTGGGGGCTGGAGCTGCAGTCCCGGGTTGGGGGACTGGAGCTGCAGTCCCGGGTTGGGGACTGGAGCTGCAGTCCCGGGTTGGGGACTGGAGCTGCAGTCCCGGGTTGGGGACTGGAGCTGCAGTCCCGGGTTGGGGACTGGAGCTGCAGTCCCGGGTTGGGGACTGGAGCTGCAGTCCCGGGTTGGGGACTGGAGCTGCAGTCCCGGGTTGGGGACTGGAGCTGCAGTCCCGGGTTGGGGACTGGAGCTGCAGTCCCGGGTTGGGGACTGGAGCTGCAGTCCCGGGTTGGGGACTGGAGCTGCAGTCCCGGGTTGGGGACTGGAGCTGCAGTCCCGGGTTGGGGACTGGAGCTGCAGTCCCGGTTGGGGACTGGAGCTGCAGTCCCGGGTTGGGGACTGGAGCTGCAGTCCCGGGTTGGGGGCTGGAGCTGCAGTCCCGGGTTGGGGGCTGGAGCTGCAGTCCCGGGTTGGGGGCTGGAGCTGCAGTCCCGGGTTGGGGGCTGGAGCTGCAGTCCCGGGTTGGGGGCTGGAGCTGCAGTCCCGGGTTGGGGGCTGGAGCTGCAGTCCCGGGTTGGGGGCTGGAGCTGCAGTCCCATGTTGGGGGCTGGAGCTGCAGTCCCGGGTTGGGGGCTGGAGCTGCAGTCCCGGGTTGGGGGCTGGAGCTGCAGTCCCGGGTTGGGGGCTGGAGCTGCAGTCCCGGGTTGGGGGCTGGAGCTGCAGTCCCGGGTTGGGGACTGGAGCTGCAGTCCCGGGTTGGGGGCTGGAGCTGCAGTCCCGGGTTGGGGGCTGGAGCTGCAGTCCCGGGTTGGGGGCTGGAGCTGCAGTCCCGGGTTGGGGGCTGGAGCTGCAGTCCCGGGTTGGGGGCTGGAGCTGCAGTCCCGGGTTGGGGGCTGGAGCTGCAGTCCCGGGTTGGGGGCTGGAGCTGCAGTCCCGGGTTGGGGGCTGGAGCTGCAGTCCCGGGTTGGGGGCTGGAGCTGCAGTCCCGGGTTGGGGACTGGAGCTGCAGTCCCGGGTTGGGGACTGGAGCTGCAGTCCCGGGTTGGGGGCTGGAGCTGCAGTCCCGGGTTGGGGGCTGGAGCTGCAGTCCCGGGTTGGGGACTGGAGCTGCAGTCCCGGGTTGGGGACTGGAGCTGCAGTCCCGGGTTGGGGACTGGAGCTGCAGTCCCGGGTTGGGGACTGGAGCTGCAGTCCCGGGTTGGGGACTGGAGCTGCAGTCCCGGGTTGGGGACTGGAGCTGCAGTCCCGGGTTGGGGACTGGAGCTGCAGTCCCGGGTTGGGGACTGGAGCTGCAGTCCCGGGTTGGGGACTGGAGCTGCAGTCCCGGGTTGGGGACTGGAGCTGCAGTCCCGGGTTGGGGACTGGAGCTGCAGTCCCGGCTTGGGGACTGGAGCTGCAGTCCCGGGTTGGGGACTGGAGCTGCAGTCCCGGGTTGGGGACTGGAGCTGCAGTCCCGGGTTGGGGACTGGAGCTGCAGTCCCGGGTTGGGGACTGGAGCTGCAGTCCCGGGTTGGGGACTGGAGCTGCAGTCCCGGGTTGGGGACTGGAGCTGCAGTCCCGGGTTGGGGACTGGAGCTGCAGTCCCGGGTTGGGGACTGGAGCTGCAGTCCCGGGTTGGGGACTGGAGCTGCAGTCCCGGGTTGGGGACTGGAGCTGCAGTCCCGGGTTGGGGACTGGAGCTGCAGTCCCGGGTTGGGGACTGGAGCTGCAGTCCCGGCTTGGGGACTGGAGCTGCAGTCCCGGATTGGGGACTGGAGCACAGGGCACAATCAAGCAGCCGCGCACCCGGAGAGTGGGGCTGTGGCCTCCGTATAGGGACCCCCGTGTCTTCAGACATATGGACCCTCGACTCAAAACATGACCCTCCGTATAGGGACTCGCGACGCACGGGCAAGGTGAGACCAAGGGTGGCCTGGTGATGATAGTGGTAGAGTGAAGGAGCAGTTGAGCAGAGGCAGCATGATGGGGCAACTTTCAGTTCTCAACGCTGCACCGCCTGCTCATACGCTGCACCGCCCGCTCTTACGCTGCACCTCATGCTCATACGCTGCACCGCCCGCCCCCACTTAGCGCACCCACTTAGCGCACCCACTTAGCGCCCCTCCTTAGCGCCCCCAATTAGCGCCCCCACTTAGCGCCCCCTTCACTCATACAGCTTGCCAATACTCCACTGCTCCTACTCGCCACATCCTAGTGCTCCTTCGTGCATGCAAAGGGAGATGCAGAACGAGATACTGCAACAGGAAATGAGCAAGGCACAGCCTGAAAGAGAGTGGGGGAGTGGGAGCACCTGACAGCCATTCGTGTTGGGCCCACTGTTTGCCTGCAGAGGTGGAGAGAGACAGAGAGGCGGATAAGAGGAGTGGGGTGAGAGGCAAGATCGCATGGTGGTCACAAAGGCAGGGCATGCACGCACTGCCATGCGATCCCAGTGAGAAAGAGCAAGGCGCGAACAAGGGCAGGAGCAGGAGCAAGAGGTGGAGAGGAGGGGAGAGGAGAGGAGAGGAGAGGAGAGGAGAGGAGAGGAGAGGAGAGGAGAGGAGAGCAGAGCAGAGCAGAGCAGAGCAGAGTAGAGGAGAGCAGAGCAGAGCAGAGCAGAGGAGAGCAGAGCAGAGCAGAGCAGAGCAGAGCAGAGCAGAGCAGAGCAGAGCAGAGCAGAGCAGAGCAGAGGAGAGCAGAGCAAAGCAGAGCATACAGCGGAGAGCAGTCCTGGGCCGGTGTGCTTGGCAATAAAGGGCTCGTCGTCAAACTTGGAGCCGTATATGCTGATGCACCCCGTGCCGTCCCCCTGATGCACGGGGGGGGCACAGGGGGCAGGAGCACAGGGGAGAAGCAGCAGGGGGCAGGAGGACAGGAGTGGGTGTAATGACGGCTGAGGAATGGCGACCAGGGAGATGGAGGAGAAACAGTGGGCGGATAGGAATGAGCAGCGGGCAGGGGTGGGGGAGCGGTGACGCAGGCAATGGTGCAGGGAGAAGGTTGTGAAGAGTGTGGTGTGGTGCAGTGGAGCAGGCACGGGTGCAGTGCGGTGAGGCGAGGTGAGGTGAGCGCACCTTGAGGAAGTCCCCTCCTTGGATCATAAAGTCCTTAATGACTCTGTGGAACACTGACCCTTTGTAGCCCTGCGGTATGTTGTTCTTCCTGCACGCCCCCACACACACACGCACACACATGCATGCCCATGCCCATGCCCATGCCCATGCCCATGCCCATGCCCATGCCCATGCCCATGCCCATGCCCATGCCCATGCCCATGCCCATGCCCATGCCCATGCCCATGCCCATGCCCATGCCCATGCCCATGCCCATGCCCATGCCCATGCCCATAGCCCATGCCCATGCCCATGCCCATGCCCATGCCCATGCCCATGCCCATGCCCATGCCCATGCCCATGCCCATGCCCATGCCCATGCCCATGCCCATGCCCATGCCCATGCCCAATGCCCATGCCCATGCCCATGCCCATGCCCATAGCCCATGCCCATGCCCATGCCCATGCCCATGCCCATGCCCATGCCCATGCCCATGCCCATGCCCATGCCCATGCCCATGCCCATGCCCATGCCCATGCCATGCCCATGCCCATGCCCATGCCCATGCCATGCCCATGGCCCATGCCCATGCCCATGCCCATGCCCATGCCCATGCCCATGCCCATGCCCATGCCCATGCCCATGCCATGCCCATGCCCATGCCCATGCCCATGCCCATGCCCATGCCCATGCCCATGCCCATGCCCATGCCCATGCCCATGCCCATGCCCATGCCCATGCCCATGCCCATGCCCATGCCCATGCCCATGCCCATGCCCATGCCCATGCCCATGCCCATGCCCATGCCCATGCCCATGCCCATGCCCATGCCCATGCCCATGCCCATGCCCATGCCCATGCCCATGCCCATGCCCATGCCCATGCCCATGCACATGCACATGCCCATGCACCAACACATATGCAGATACTCGCACATTGTGGAGCAATTGCTGCATGAGAGCATTGGACAACAGCACATGTGCATGGCAGCAGGCAATCGCACATGCGCAACTGCCTGTTGTCAAACCGTCAGCCCAGACTTTGAGTGGACGGTTCAGTATCGCACCTCATCTCGCCCGTGCATAGCTGCCTGTTGTCACCGCACCACACCGCGCACCACCACCACCGGCACCACCACCACAATCCACCACGTACAGTTGCACGCACACAAGAGAAAAGGCCACGCCAGGAGCATGCGAAGGGGGTTTCACGGGGCGCAGGAACAGAAAGGTGTGAACCGGGAGAGGTTGTGGAGACGCGGCAAGAGGAGTGGTGGTGCGATGGTGGGGGGCGTGTCTGGTGCAACACGACATGGCATGGCATGGCGTGGCACGGGATGGCACGGAACGGCACGGCATGGCACGGCATGGCACGGCACGGCATGGCACGGCACGGCACATGGCGGAGCGGTACCAGAAGTTCTCAGAGGTGCGGGGCGCGATGTCAGCGAATAGCTCCATCTTGACGCGCCCCGCCGCGATACCCCCGATCGTGACGTCAAAGAACACCACGGGGTTGCGCGGGTTCTGCGCGCGCGTGTGCCAATCCACCACCGCCGCGGCCTCCGCACCCGCCATTGCGCTGACTTCTCCGCGCGCGGGTTCCCTGACCCTCCCACCTGCGCCGCTCCCGACTACGTTTCACTTATGGATGCGCGAGTTGCGCTAGCCTCCAATACGATGTTTTGCTCTGCTCTTCTGGTGGTAATCTCGTCAACGACGGGAAACTAGCGAGACCCGGTGGTTTATGGGAGCCGGACTAAGCACGACGTGAGGTGAACGGAACGGACGTGAGCAGAGGAGGTAATGGGCCCGGCTGATCGATACACGCAGGCTTGCTCCCACGGGGAGAAGGGAAATAGAACTACCGGACGACTGACACAAGCCGGGTAAATAACCGTTCGTACAGTCGCGTCGTGTTTAGGACGCCGAGCAGGCGCTGCGGTTTGCTGCTGTGGTTCTGTAATGTGGAACTAAGGTTTATATTCGCGTTTGTAATGCCGATCGGATGAACGCGTTTTGCTGGCACGAACACCCAGAACCTGGAAAGTTTACGTATCAAACAAATATATACCAGCTGCTGAAAGGTGTCAACTGATCTTGACATTTATAAAAGGGAGATAACATCCCTCGGAAAAAGATTTGGCAATCTGAGTGCCGTAACTTCGGCTTTGTTGCTGTTAGAGTAAAGGACCTTTGGATAGGATAGGAATGCTTTGGAAGAGTTTGGTATCTGAAGTCTTGGTTTGGGAACTTAGATCATAGTGAATGTAGATGACCAAGTTGATTAAACAAAAGATTACAATTGTGAAAGCTTGCTTTCTGCAACTTGTAAAGGCATCGTGCTTCATTTCATATGGGTATGAGTACATCAATCCAGGGCTGACGATTCAAATATGGGTACCCTGTTTTCAATCCCCCAAAAAGAGATTTACCCTGAAGGCACATTTTCCGCAAAACGCCAAGCCTGAGCCTTCTTGCGATGTTCAGGGTTCACGAAATCGTAAGTCTGGGCTGTCAGGGTTGGCGAATTGAAATCAGGGGTGTTTTTTTCTTCTTTCTAGTTTGGCGAGAAAAACAGTGACGTGTTTGACGCGAGAAATCTAGCTGGATTGGTGGATTGGCTGGAGGGAGTGCATGTGGCGTGGGAGGATCTCCTAGGGGCGCAGGGGCGAGAGCGAGGGGTGTGCAAAGGGGGAGGGAGCAAGTGAGTGGGGTGGGTGGGGGCTATTTCGTGACCGCGGGTCGTCCGCACAAAAGGGGGAGAAGGGGGAGAAGTGGGGGAACGGGCTGCTCATGGGAGGGGTGTCGAGACTCGACCTGGTTTTGGTGGGGGGAGACGTTTTTCAATATTAGTGTCTCGTTTAGTTTCACAATTATTATAATTGACACATGTTTTTTTCTCGAAAGTTAACGAAAAACAGCTGATGACTATAAACTATCAGTCACATGGCAATACGGTGTTTCACTACGGATGGCTTTTTTTATCTCCTGCCGAATCACTTTGCGATCCGCCAGATCGCGATTTGTTTCTCGGTTTAAGTTTACGGCTAACAAAAATTGGAAACCGAATGTTTAGTCATTCTAACAGAAACGTAGTGTACTGCGATAACCTGGACAGCGCGCATGGAGTCCCTGAGATGGGTGCAAGCGTAATCATGATTACGCACATGGGGGTTATCGGGACGAAGGTTCCTGGAAGCTTCGTCCCGATAACGTTGCATTCAGGGTCAACAAGACGCATACTCTGTATGGACAGGGTCCTTAAGAGCACTACTCTGTGAGTGTATACAAAATTCCAGGGTTCGCTAAAGTACTACTCTGACAAGATCAGTGTTCAGAAGACGATAAACCTGAAATTACAGGGACCAGAATGTGACTAGTCTGAAATCACCCTGAAATCAGGGCAATTACCCTGATAAAATCAGCCCTGCATCAATCTCGTCCCATGATAACTACGATTACAGCAAGAATCTTAGAGATAATTACTACATGGGTGGGTGGGTGGGAAACTCAAACTTCGAAATTGAAAAGAAGAACGTGGGTGAGGCCGAATGGCCTCAACCCCCTCTTTTGTAGCCAAAAGAGGTCGAGTAGCGATGCGACGCTGCCTTTGCCGTGTTGGCAATCGCTACACTTTCACAATACACAATTTTTTAAAACTGTTACACACTTTTAAAAATTTACATATTGTGAAAGCTTGCTTTCTGCATCTTGTAAAGGCATCGTGCTTCATTTCATATGGGCCTTCTGAGACATGCGAGTGGTCGGTCAGCGATGCCGCTGGATAGACAGTTGGTGCTGGTTCGGGGAGGGAGCCCGTGTAGGATCCTGAATCAGCTGGGAGGCAGCCACAAGCTGGTCGTGGGCGATGGTGACGTAGAGGTCTTTTGCGTTGTCGCTGCGCCAACGGCCCAACCGCTTGAACATCCTGTCTGAGACTCCGATGCCTGCCGCCGTCGTTGCTGCTCCTTTGCGGAAGGAGTGCGTGCCAAGGTGGTTGGCGTCGAGGCCAACCTTTTGGAATGCTTCCAAGCACCAATTGCGCACAGTTGGGTATAAAGGCGCGTGGTCGTGCGGAGTTGCTTTGGAGTCACGTGTGAACACCCGTATCAGTGGTCCTTTGGTCGAGGCGTCATAGCCGGCAAGCGAGATGAACTGTCTAGTGATCTTTACTGGGCAATAGGGTCCGGGTGTAGTTGCGATTGGGACCCATATTCCCTTGCCTTCCTGGTCCGTTTTGGAGTGGGGAATCAATAGCCACATCGCCGCCTCCTCGAATTGGATGTCTTGCCACTGAATTGCGACGAGGTCCGAGAAGCGGAGAAAGCCCGTATACATGAGCAGTGGGATGAGGCCTTTCTGGAAGACGGAGGGAGTGTCGGATGCAATGAACTCGTGTGTCATCTGGTGAACCTGGTGAAGAGACACGGGTTCTTTAGTCCTGTTTGGGCGCGGGGAGTGGCGCTTGGCGAATTCTCGGACTTGGGAAGTGAAGGGGCCGTTCGTGGGACAAGTAAGGCCAGTCATCTTGTGTGCAAATGCGACTGCTGAACAGGTCAGCGTGATGGCGGACAAGGTGGTGTCGAGATTAGCTAGGAAGGAATGTCTTGGATTAAGGCAAGGAGGGGGATACAATGAAGTGTCGAGCAAATTACTGTACCCCCCAAGGCTAAACACACTACAGCCTAGATAACAGTAAACATATAATTTGACACACCCCCATAGGCGAAGTGGGGGATAGCAAACACAAGAAGCGGTCACAAGACCAGTCAAGAGAAGAAACAAAGCAAAGCAAGCTCAGGGTGGATCTCAAGATCACCACGCATTCTGAGCACTAGCAAGCGGCCACAAGGCCAGTTCACGTGCAGGTTTATAATAGAGCAAACAGTACAATGATTACAACCTGGCAACCAGAAACATGCAGGTTTATATATCAATGTACAAGACAAGATCAAGAGACAAGCAGTGTTGGCTCGTGTGGCCACGTACAAAGGCGAAGTTGGGAACGCTGCTGCAATACTCGCACGGCAAAGGAACGAAGTGCAAAGTGCTACGTTCTGCTCGCTAGTCTGACCAAGTAGCGCAACACCCTCCTAGCAACCCGCCAGTGCGCAGGATGGTACACCAGCTCGAACTGCGTATTCTCAAGTACGTCACAGCCAAGGGCAAACTCACCCCCAACGGACGGAGGACACGAGGAGACAGAGACGAGACCAGTAAGGTAGGTGCGACGGCAAGTAGCAGGTGCAGCAGCAGTCGAAGAAGCAGGTGCAATCACAAGGGCGGCTAGACTACGAGGGACAGTCGGGCTGGCAGCACGAGCAAGGTCAGACACAGGGTCAGGAACAGGAGGGAAGACGTGGGAGGTAACGACAGGACAACAGGCTCCCGAGTGACACGAGAGGGAGCATGGGAGGCGGCACAAGACACAGGCTCCCGACGCCCAGTCAAGAAGAAGGACAACGGGACGTATTGAGCAGGAGCAGGCAATGGGGAGGCAGGCGGCGGAAACAACAGAGGAGGAGTAGTACAAGTGGGCGTCGGCTCAGGTAGCCACGACGACGGCCGCTCAAAGAAGATAGACTGCCGTGGCAGCGACTGCAACGCATCCCCAGACCCAGCACCTCTAGCGCCAGTACCTCCAACTCCACCAACAAGAAGACTCCTAGCACCCCCAGAGGCAGCACCCCCAGAGGCAGCACCCCCAGACCTAGCACCCCTAGAACCAAAACCCTCAGCGTCACCACCCCCAACAACACCTGGGACCCCGAAGTCCGCAGCGACAGGCTGCAGAGGAGGCGAAGACGTCCGGGGCGGAAAACCCGGAGGTGTCTCCAAGCTCGGTGAGCGGCGAGAGGTCGCTGTGTCGGCAGCAGTAGGGTCATCCCCCTCGGTCGAGCCAGAGGAGGCAGAGGGGACTACGAGACACGGGAGAACAGTGGAGGGGTGTGCATAGACTGTGCTAGTAGGCGCACAAGCAGCGACACACCAAGGCTCTAACTATTGGTGCCCGCCCCCGCCACTCCCGCCAGCTCCACTACGACCCTCGTTAGCTACAGTGGTGAGGTCTGACAGCGCAGGGAAGGTAGGAGGCAGCGCAAGACAGCCTAGGATTGCAGGAGGGGGGGGGAGTAGCGCCTAACCACAGCGGAATTCAAAGCATGGGCCGACGACATCTGGCTCCTGGGGAAGAAGGCTCGCTGGTCGAACGAGAGGTGAAGGCGGACTGCAAGTGAGGCGGCAGCGTCTCGCGCCATCCACCGACTGTAGGCAAGGTGAGCTGCGCGGAACTGCGTCCGCTCCTCCTCCTCAGCGTCAGCAGCAGGTTCAGCAGGAGCCTCTGGGGCCGGAAGGGACCCCGACGTGTGCTCGAACAGGGAGACGTTGTCCCGTTTGACACTCCGGAGGTACAGGTGCAGCCCCTCTAGCCAGGAGTCAAACCCTAAAGGTTGCCCCACTACGTCAAAGGCTAAAAGAGTGGGAGTCGCCATAGCAGCACGAACGGCAGCAAGCAGCTGCACAGGTGGCAGCAACAGCGCAGGCGGCAGCAGCAGCCTAGCAGAAGCAGCAGCAGC